CACTTTTCCCCAAACAGTGCTTGCACTCAGGGATTCTTGCTGATCTTCTAAAAAATTGGGCCTGCTTGCCGGTCGGGCTGGCTCGTCGCCACCCGTCGCCGCCCGCCGACGCCGCCAATCTGGGCCTGGCTGGCAGTCTGGCCGGCTCGCCGCCGCCCGTCGCCGCCGCGTGTCGCTCACAATGTTGGATGTGCGATGCGAGCCTCGAGGCTTTGCACCACGTAGAGACTCTACCGACCCCCCGGGCGTTGTCCGTCCCCCCCTCGGGTATGTAAATCATATATGAGACCACATGTCCATCCTAAGTATGAGGTTACACTATCCAAGGCGGGCCGGTATCGGTCACCCTGAGGTTCCCTTGTACAAACCGATACGCGGGGACATCTGTTCTTCTAACATAACACGAAGTGCACACGCGCGCGTCGTCGCGCGCGCATGCCGAAATCCTTCAAAAACCTTTGGTGTCGGAAGGATTTCGCAATCGAGCTTCCAAAAAACATACAAAAACACAGGGTTTCGCAACACTGATTTGCTAAAAAAGCTTCCGCGCGAGCTCTTGCGAAATCGTAAGGAAACCATTGTCTTTTCAAGATTTTCACAACATGCTACCAAACGGGTTTCGCGCGCGCGCATGTCGAAATCTGTCGAACGCCCTTGCGCGTGTGCCGTCGCGAGAATCCTCTGCAAAGAAAGGGACGAAGTGCAGACGCGCGCGTCGTCGCGCGCGTATGCCGAGATCTTTCAAAACCCATCGGCTTCGGAAGGATTTCAACATCGTGTGTCCAAAAAACCTACTAAAAAACACAAGGTTTCGCAACACGGATGTTCAACAAAAGCGTGCGCGCGCGCTCTTGCGGCGTCGTCGTCGTCGTCGCCGTCCGCCCTCCTCCCGCGTCGGCGTCGTCGTCGCCTACGTCGTCCTCTGTCTTTCCTCGTGTTCGTCGTCGTCGTCCTCTTTGGCGTCGTGGTCGTTTCCGTCGTCGTTGTCGCCGTGGTCGTCCTTCCTCCTCCCTCGTCGTCGTCGTCGTCCGTCGTCGGCGTCTCGTCGTCGTCCCTCCTATTTCGTCGCCGTCGTCGTCGTCGTCGTCGTTGTCGTCGTCGTCGTCTTCCCTCCTCGCTCGTCGTTGTCGTCGTCGGCGTCGCCGTCCTTCATCCTTCTTCGTCGTTCGCGTCGTCGCCGTCCTCCCTCCTCCCTCGTCGTTGTCGTCGTTGTCGTCGCGGTCGCCGTCGTCGTCCTCCCTCCTCCCTCGTCGTCGTTTTCGTTGGCGACGTCGTCGTCGTCTTCGTCGTCGTCGGCGTCGGCGTCGTCGTCGTCTTCGTCGTCGTCGACGTCGGCGTCGTCGTCGTCGCCGCCGCCGTCGTCGTCGTCGTCGCCGGCGTCGTTGACGTCGTCGTCGTCGTCGGTTTCGTCGTTGTCGTCGTCGTCGGCGTCGTCATCGTCGTCGTCGTTGTCATCGTCGTCATTGTCGGCGGCGTCGGCGTCGTCGTCGTCGGTGTCGTCGTCGTCGTCGTCGTCGTCGTTGTCGGCGTCGTCGAAGTCGTTGGAGACGTCGTCGGTGTCGTCGTAGTCGTTGTCGGCGGCGTCGGCGTCGTCGTTGTCGCTGTCGTCGTCGGCGTCGCTGTAGTTGCCAAGTGCCATTTGGTACCCACCATCACGGTCTTAAGAGATTTTGCAAACCAAGTTTCGGGTGGGTGGGTGGGATGCTTGCGCGAGCAGTGGGGTGGACAACTTACTGCGAGCAGAAATTAATTGCACCACATAGATTGCACCACACACATTGTACCACATAGATTGTACCACATATATTGCGCCACATAGCTTACACAAAATAAATTGCATTCCATAGCTCACACCACACGGATTGCACCGCATAGATGGCTTGACATAGAATGCACCACATTGGCTGCACAACATATATTGAGCCACATAGGTTCTCCTTTCTAAAAAGAGAATAGACTCGACCCCCCCCCGGCGTTATCGCCCCCCTTTCGGGGATGTAAATCACATATGATTCTGACCACATGTCCATCCTAAATCTGAAATCACAATGTCCCAGGCCAACCGGTATACCCCCCCTGAGGCTCCCTTGTAAAAAACACTATGCGGTGACATTTTTTGTTCGAACATAGCATTGTTCACGAATCCCTTGCAAAAAGCGGGACGAAGTGCACGCGCGCGCGTCGTCGCGCGCGCATGCCGAAATCCTTCAAACACCTTCGGTGCTGGAAGGATTTCGCAATCGAGCTTCCAAAAAACATACAAAAACACAGGGCTTCGCAACACTGATTTGCTAGAAAAGCTTACGCGCGAGCTCTTGCGGAATCTTAAGACAACCATTGGTTTTTTCCAGATTTTCACAACATGCTAGCAAACGGGCGTCGCGCGCGCGCATGTCGAAATCTGTCGAACGCCCTTGCGCGTGTGCCGTCGCGAGAATCCTCTGCAAAGAAAGGGACGAAGTGCAGACGCGCGCGTCGTCGCGCGCGTACGCCGAAATCCTTAAAAACCCATCGGTTTCGGAAGGATTTCAACATCGCGCGTCCAAACAACCTACAAAAAACATAAGGCTGCGTTGGAATTTCAACAAAAGCGTGCGCGCGCGCTCTTGCGGCGTCGTCGTCGTCGTCGTCGTCGCCGTCCTCCCTCCTCCCGCGTCGTCGTCGTCGTCGTCGCCTTCGTCGTCCTGTGTCGGTCCTCGTGTTCGTCGTCGTCGTCGTCCTTGTTGGCGTCGTGGTCGTTTCCGTCGTCGTTGTCGCCGTGGTCGTCCTTCCTCCTCCTCCCTCGTCGTCGTCGTCGTCCGTCGTCGGCGTCTCGTCGTCGTCTCTCCTATTTCGTCACCGTCGTCGTCGTCGTCGTTGTCATCGTCGTCTCGTCGTCGTCTTCCCTCCTCCCTCGTCGTTGTCGTCGTCGGCGTCGCCGCCCTTCCTCCTTCTTCGTCGTTCGCGTCGTCGCCGTCCTCCTTCCTCCCACGTTGTCGTCGTTGTCGTCGTTGTCGTCGTTGTCGCCGTCGTCGTCCTCCCTCCTCCCTCGTCGCCGTCTTCGTTGGCGACGTCGTCGTCGTCTTCGTCGTCGTCGTCGGCGTCGGCGTCGTCGTCTTCATCGTCGTCGACGTCGGCGTCGTCGTCGTCGCCGCCGTCGTCGTCGTCGTCGTCGTCGTCGGCCGTCTTGCTTCTCCGGCCTTCTTGGGGCGCTCTTGAGACGCCCCCGAGGGCTCTGAGACGACCCCGGAGCGATATCTGTGCTCGGTCCCGCATGGGTTTTGCAAACCAAGTTGCGGGTGGGTGGGTGGGATGATTGCGCGAGCAGTGGAGTTGACAACTTCAAGTTCGGCAAGTGAGTTGCACCACATAGGATCCAACGCACAGCTTGCACCCCGTAGACTGCACCACACAGAGTCTCCTGTCGACCGAAGGAACGACTGTACCACCTCCGTCACCCCCCCCCGCCTGTCGGCAGCCCCTGGGACACTGCAAATTACGTATGATGCTGCCTCATCGTTCTCATACGCCACATGAATCCAAACCATCCCAGGCGGGCAGACATCGCCCTCCCACCAATTAGAGGTGTTGCCATTGTTACACCACCCCGCTGGGTTTCACCGTCAGAATCACCATGAGCATCACAGCCAGCATTATCACCATTACCCCAACCATCGTCGTCATCATCATTATCAGTATCATCATTACCCCCACCACAGTCGGCATCATCACCATCACCGCCATCATCATCATCATCATCATCATCATCATCATCATCATCATCATCATCATCATCATCATCATCATCATCATCATCAACATAATCATCATTGTCGTCGTCGTCGACGACACATCATTACAACCCGCTACCATCACAAGCATATCATTATCCGTGTCAGTATCATCTTCACTATTACCACCACCATCACTCCTCACTTCGTCCCTCCTCCTTCTTCTCTTCCTTCCTCCCTCCTCCGCCTCCCTGGGAGGAAGGATGAGGGAGGGGGGAAAGGACAGGGAAGCCACGAGGGAGGACGGAGGAGGGCAGGCGGAGGGAGAGGAAGGAGGGGGAGGGGAGAAGAGGAGGAAGGGGAGGACCAGAAGCGCGAGGAAGGGAACGATGAGCAAGAGGAGAGGCGGCAGCCCTGTCCCAACCCTCCGTCGGGCCCCCGACGGGCAGGCAAGTCAACAGGGATCGCGGCCCTTCTGCGACAAGCTGGAGAACAAACAAAAGAAAACGTTCTGAACATCGACTCGGATTCCTCGGCCAACCGCAGCAAACTGCATGTTGCTTCTGCCCGCCTCGGCCAGAGATTGCCTCTACCCGCAGAGGCAGGGCGACTGGCCTGCACCCGCTGCCGAGCGACACCTGGTGCTCGCCGACTCCGCGGTTGGCATCCGACGATGCTCGTCGGGAGGCGCTCTGCGAACGTGGCACTGCCACTCGGTCTGCTGCGGCAGGTTCGTGTCGTGACGACCCCAGCGTTGGTTCCTGACACCGCGCGGATCGTTCAGCGGTGGACTTCTTGGCAGGGATGACCCCCGTCCGGCCTCCCGCCCCCGGCGCCAGGGTCTCGGGCACCGACCGGCGCTGCCCCGCGGGCACTGCGCTGGCCCACTGCGACGCCAAGAGGAACGGACCCTTTCACGACAACGGCGACACAGTTCAAAGGCCAAACCCAGGCCAACCTTGAACCATAGCGGCTTCCCGATAGCGCAGATCGTTCGCTGTCGGTCGACTCAAGGGCCACCCGCGGCGCTCGACCGTGCACGACCCGCGCGCGGAGGTCGCCGCCTGGTCGACGCGGGGCGAGCCCGCCGTGCCCACGAAGTCAAAGCTCACCGTGGATGTGCTCGTTGAGCCCAGCGCCGGCAGGGCCCTGATCACCCACAAGGACACTCCTCCTCCTCCTCCTTCTCCTCCTCCTCGTCCTCGTCCTCCTCCTCCTCCTCCTCCTCCTCCTCCTCCTCCTCATCCTCCTCCTCCTCCATCCCCAAAGAGAGTGGCGGGCAGGCGCTGCCAGTGCATCTGACCCTTCTCCACAAGCTTGTTGAACAGCTGGTACGTCCGATCCTCGGCATAGTCCTGAGGGCACGGATGGGCACGCGCTCACCCCACCTGCTCGGCCCTCACAGCCCATCCAGGCCTTGGACTATTATAGCGAACACGCATGCCACATTCATCGGTCAACGACCGCCCCCCAACGTTCAAAGTTGGCGGTGGGTTTGATGAGTTGCACTTCGACCGCAGTCTCTCCCCCGCGCGTGCCAACTTCGAGTTTGGGGGAGCGGGGGAGTGTCCACTCACTGTGTCCCCATACCGTCGCTCTTTTGAAGGGGCCCAGGGACACACAAACGAATGCACGCAAAACATTGAAAGGATTCCCCATGTTTACCCATACTCTCTGGGCTGTTGTCTTCCCCCCCCATCTCCCACAGTTTCCCACGTGTTCCTGGGACTCGACGATTCGTTGTGTCTGTGTGTGTTTTCCCCTCCCGATCACTGGCCGTGGCCGCGGCAGGGGAGCAGACTGGCGCCCAGGGAGCGCGGAGGGCGCGGCGAGGCCGCGGCGGCCCTGCCGGGGTGCGCACGCGCTGCGCCCTGGGGAGCCCGCGACGGCCCACCGAGAACACCAGGAACCCGCTCGAGGGATCCCTTGTGGACCCGATAAAACAGGGCTAGGATCGGGATAAATCGCTGCAGAGCGTTCCGACGCGCTCTCAGAGCGTTCCGGAACGCTCTGAGAGCGGCCGCGGCGCCCAGTACATCCTCCAAACCCGCCGATTCTCAGAGATTTCGAGTCATCCCGATCCGATTTTGTCCCGATCTTCGCGTCGTTTTACCCGAGGCGCCTGGCAACCCCTCCCGCACAGAGCGGCGACCCGCCGACGCCCACTTTTCTGCGTGGGCGGCGGGGCAGAGGGCGACTGCTCCGGTGGAGAGGCAACAGGGGACACGCCGCATGCAAGTTGCAGCCGCGACGCACGGGAGGAGGAGGAGGAGGAGGAGGAGGAGAGGAGGAGAGAGGGGAGGAGGAGGAGGAGGGACGAGGAGGAGGAGGAGGAGGAGGAGGAGGAGGAGGAGGAGGAGCCCCGGCGCGACAGGAAGAGAGGAAGCTGGGCCACTCGGAGCTGCCGGCTGCGGCGGGGGGGGAGCGCCGAGGGGGGAGCAGCGCCGGGACCCGGGACGGAGCTGCACTGGGCTGCACCGAAGGTTGGTCGCGCTTGTCGTGCGTGCTGGCGGGCCTGGCCCGGCCCTCCCCTGGCTGGTGCCCGGGACCTCGCCCAGCGCCGCCCTCTGCCCCCATCTGCCTCGGTCCGTTCGACCCTGGGCCCCCGGAAGTCCCGCCACTCTCCCTGGGCCTAGGAGGAGGAGGAGGAGGAGGAGGAGGAGGCGGAGGAGGAGGCGGAGGAGGCGGCGGAGGTGGAGGAGGAGGAGGAGGAGGAGGAGGAGGAGGAGGAGGAGGAGTACTAGGAGTCCCAGGTCGTCTTCCCCCCACTTTGGCTTGCCAAAGAGATTCTTGCTCGTTTCTGAAGAGCCGCAGGGCCCCAGGCCTGCGCCGCGGCCGGCGTTCCCCGGGGATGCTTGGTCCTGTGTCCTTTCTGTGACGTTTCCCCGGGGCCGCTTGGTCTTGTTTCTTTACCGTATTTCTCGGGTTGTTTGGTCTTGTTTCCTCACTGCATTCCCAGGGTTGCTTGGTCTTGCGTCCAGGCAACGCCAGGCACTTCGAAGCAACGCCAAACAATGCCAAGCAACGCGAAGCAATGCCAAGTCATGCCAAGCAACATCGATAAATGCAAAGCAATGCCAAGCGACGCCAAGCAAGGCAAAGCACGAATAAGCAATGCCAGGCAATGCCAACCAAACACTGCAAAGTACCGCGAGGCAGTTTCAAGCAGTGCCAGGCAATGCCAGGTGACGACAAGTAGCGCCAATCAACGCCAAGCAATACAAAACAGCGCCGAGCAGCGCCAACCAATGCCAAGCAGTGCAGAATGACTCCAGTTGGGGATGGACAGACCCCCCTTTAGTAAAACGTGGTTTAGTGAAAACGACCTGAGGCCCAAACCTGGCGGGCGCAAGCCTGGAAAATAACGGCCACGGCGCCCTCTCGAGAACCGAAAACGGACACTTCACTAATCGACGTGTCACTGTTGGGGGTTCTGTCCACCCCCGAGCCAGGCCACGCCACCCGATGCTAAGCAGCGCCCGGCAACGCCAAGCCACGCCAGGCAACGCCAGGCAACGCCAAGCAACGCCAGGCACCTCCAGGCAACGCCAGACAACGCCAAGCAACGCGCCCATGCAATAGGAAGCTTCCTCCTAGTTGCTCCCCCTCCTCCTCCTGCTCCTCCTCCTCCTCCCCCTCCTCCTCCTGCTCCTCCTCCTCCTCCTCCTCATCCTCCTCCTCCTCCTCCTCCTCCTCCTCCCTCTCCTCCTCAGCCCCCTCCTCCGCCTCCTCCTCCTTATAAGCTCGCCGGCCAACGGGCCAGAGGCGTGCTAAACTCTCCGCTGCCCCCAAGAAGGCGCTGGAGCTTCCACGACCTCTCCAGAGGTTCGCCGGATCAGCCCTGGACCTGCCTCGACCCGCGTGGCTCCTCAGCGGCCTGCACAGGCCTTGCCTCCACCTATCCGGCCTGAACCCTGAAGGATCGATCGGAGAAGAGTCGTCGAGCCCTCGGTGATCGGCAATCTTGCTCTTTCAACCTCTGCTGACTGCTGCTGCAGGCCACGCCAAAAACATATTGAAACACTGTTCGAAATCGAAGCGCCCGATGGTTCGGGCACCTGTCAGAAAACGCGTTCTTTCAATGCTGTGAGGGTACCTACTGCTGGATTGCGAACACCCCTGCGCCTGGCCCGGATACCTCACGTCAGCATTCAAGTAGCGCCCACCACGCAAGCACCGAAAACTAAAACCGTCAAACTATATTTGACGTGTCTTGTAGCTATTGGGCTTGGCAAGTCTCCCTGGAAATGCCAGCAAGCCCCTTCGAAGAACGAGGGGGCATGGGGCGCGCAGCCAGCTGCACCTTCGCCGCAACGTCTGCGGCGCACAATTGCGACAAGCCACTTGCGATTCTACACTGCTGCCTCGATCCTCCTCCTCCTCCTCCTCCTCCTCCTCCTCCTCCTCCTCCTCCTTTTCCTCCTCCTCCTCCTCCTCCTCCTCCTCCTCCTCCTCCTCCTCCTCCTCCTCCTCCTCCTCTTGCTCCTCTTATTATTAATAGTATTATTAGTATTCGCATTTGATAATATGATTCATATTAGCTTTCTTTATTATGAACAATAGTTCCTTATGCTTCTGAATTGCATTCTTATTTTCTTACTACTATATGTTTATTATGTGTATGCTTCTGCGTCTTATCATTATTATGCTTATTATTCTTCTCCTCCTCCTCCTCCTCCTCCTCCTCCTCCTCCTCCTCCTCCTCCTCCCCCCTCCTTCCTTCTCCTCCTCCTCCTCCTCCTCCTCCTCCTCCTCCTCCTCCTCCTCCTCCTCCTCCCTCCTCCTCCTCCTCCTCCTCCTCCTCCTCCTCCTCCTCCTCCTCCTCCTCCTCCTTTCCTTCTCCTCATAGATAAGTCCTCCCTGTTGCACAACGAGGCCAGTTTTTAGGGCGGGCCTCGCCTGAGACTTCCTCACCACTTATGACTGCGAATCTTAAACAGTGGCAACAGCTTCACTGATGGAGGGCGGGTCGCCTTCCAAATGTTGCTCTCGCCTTAGCGCCGCGCACAGTCGTTGTAAACATTTGCAAGGAGCTTCGCGGATTGAAAGCGGGTCGTTTTCGAAATGTGGCTCACGCCTCAGCGCCGCGCACGTTCGTCTTCAAAATCTGCAAGGAGTTTCACGGAGGAAGGGCGGGTGGTTTTCAAAATGTGGCTCTCGCCTTAGCGCCGCGCGCATTCGTTTTAAACCTTTGCAAGAGCTTCACGGATTGAGGGCGGGTCGTTTTCAAAATGTGGTTCACGCCCTAGCGCCGCGCACATTCGTCTGAACATGTGCAAGAGCTTCACGGATTGAGGGCGGGTCGTTTTCAAAATGTGGCTCACGCCCCAGCGCCGCGCACATTCGTCTTCAAAATCTGCAAGAACTTTACGGGTTGAGGGCGGTTCCGTTTCAAAATGTGGCTCTCGCCTCAGCGCCGCGCACATTCGTTTAAAACACAAAAAAAAACTTCACGGATTGAGGGCGGGTCGTTTTCAAAATGTGGCTCACGCCTCAGCGCCGCGCACACTCGTCTTCAAACATTGTAAGAGTGCCACGGATTACCAGGATCAACGCTCCAGAAATTTTGTTTTGGAAAGTTTCAGGGTTATGCGGGCGCAACACATATGTTGATCCGCTGCGTTGAAGGCCCGAAAATCGCGTTCTGGCAAAATTCTGGATCGTCAAGACGCAGCAGTCAGGTTGGTACGTGGCGTTGAAATCCTGGGAACACTGTTTTGGCACGCTTCAGGATCGTCAAACGTTTGTCTTCCAACGAGGCAGTTCCCTCAATGGAAATGGGCCGTCGCAGGGGCCTATGCAGAGGGAGCTTGGAGGGAGGGTTCATTCCAACATCGTTGATGACTCTGGGGTCTCCACTGGTCCTCCGCCTCCTCCTCCTCCTCCTCTCCTCCTCCTCCTCCTCCTCCTCCTCCTCCTCCTCCTCCTCCTCCTCCTCCTCCTCCTCCTCCTCCTCCTCCTCCTACTCCTCCTCCTCCTCCTCCCTCCCTCCCTCCCTCCCTCCCTCCCTCCCTCCCTCCTTCGCTCACGCTGCCCTACCGATGTCTGGCCCCCCACGATCCGTCTGGCGTTACATCGACCTGGGCACTTAGGACGCACCTCGGCGTGTCTGGCCGGGCCGCCAGAGGTCGGTTGGAGAAAAGAGGGGTCGAGACCTCGGGGGCCCTGGATGACCACGGTGGTGCCGCTGCCGAGGGTGGCGGTGATGGCGATGCCGATGGTGATGGCGATGGTGATGGCGATGGTGTTTACGAACATGATGACGCTGAGGAAGAGGGTGGCGAGGATGATGATGATGATGCTGATGCTGATGATGATGCTTAATATGATGTTGATGATGATGCTGATGATCATG